TGTTTTGTGTAGAATACTGATTCTGTATTAATTGCCTATAAGCTCATTGTCAATAAACATGTACAAATTGCAATTTTTTCCCCCCTATGTTTGCCTTGGTTTTATTTGAATGTATTTTATATCTGTTGACTCTAGTAAGAACAATTTTAGGTTTATAATTTGAATGTTTGTTTGATCACATTTCATAATAATTCATTTTTGTATTTTCAAAAGTATTGATCTGTAATGGATTAGAAAGTTGTTTTTTTTTTAAATGGCCATTCACTACAGAGTTTGAGCAGCAAACTCGTTCTAGAGAACCAACCAATTTCAATTTCCGATTGTTTGCTGCAACAGAGAAACATGATTAATTTTTGTATCAAAAACTGAGCCTTCTATCTCATAACCCTGCTAAAATCACTGAGTAGTTTCAGTCACCTTTTTATAGCTTCCTTAGGACTTTCTCCAGCAATAATTTATATTATCTGAAAATAGAGAATTTTATTTCTTCCTTTCCAATCTGATGGCTTATTTCCTTTTCTTGTCTTTTTGTACAGGCTAGGACCTCCAGTACAATGTTGAATCAAAGTGGGGAGAGTGGACATCCTTGGCTTGTTTCCAATCTTAGTGGAGAAAGCATTCAGTCTTTTATCACTAGGTATGGCCTTAGATATAGATTTTCATTTCATTAGGGAAATTTCTTTCTAGACCTAGCTTGCCAAGAGTTGTTGTCGTTTAATAAAAAATAAATTAGAGGTTAGATTTTGTCAGAAGCTTTTTTTGTATCTATTGATATAATCATATGTTTTAGTCTGTTATCATGGTGAACTCATGATATTTATATGTTAAACTAATCTTGGTCATATGTATTACTGAACTCAATTTCCTAAAATATTGTTGAAGATTTTTACACATATATACATGAGAAATACTGGTCTGTAGTTTTGTTTTTATTTTTTTGTTTTCATTTATAATAAAATACCTTTGCCTGGCTTTGTTACCAAGTAATTTTGGTAACACTCATAGAATGAATTGAAAAGTGTACCATCTCTTCTATTTTCTAGAATAGTTTGTGTAGAATTGGTATTGTTTCTTCCTCTTTGGTAGAATTCTCTGATGAAGGCTTCTAGGAATTTCTCTCATGAAACTACAAATTCAATTTCTTTAATAGATACAGGGGATTTCTAGTTTAGCTCCCACATGTAAAGAGCTTGGAAGCTGTCACTCCCATCCTTACAAGAAAACACTAAACAAAATAAAAATCAATAATGTCTTGTAGCTGTTGGAGAACTGAGTCCTCAGGACAAGCCATAACCCTGAAATCTGGAGACACAGGTGAATCTAGAGTCATAACTGAAATTTGGTTGCCTAGAGCAGAAGCCACTAGAGCCATAAATTGGTAAGGAACCCTTAAATGTTAATTTTGACAAGCTGCTGGAGTCTGATTGTGGAATAGCGTAACAGTCAGAAATTCCCAAGACTAGCACACAATCTTAGGAGGCTCACATTTTTGTAGGTTTTACCTCCAACACTACCAGAATCTCATAGTCAATCTTCCATAGCTCTGGCAGGGTAAGGGTAAGAGCAATCATTGTAAAATATGTCCAGCGTTCTCCATAACAAAGACCTACTGTCCAGAGAAAAAGACCTTCTAAGAGCCTTAGCATATCTAGGGGAAAGGGCATTTCTCCTACTCTAGCCCTCCTTGTCTTTCCTGTCTTTCCTTTGGGGGTAAAAAGCTAAAAGACATTTAGTCTAAGGATGCAAGCCCACTAAAAAAACTGATTAATTTTTTTTTTAAGAGATAAGAGAAAGCATCTGAATGCAGGGACAAGGGCGGGGGAGGGATGCCGAGGGGGGGGGGGGGGGTGAGAAGACAGAGAGAAAACCCCAAGCAGGCCCCATGCTCAGTGAGGAGCCCATTGTGGGGTTTAATCTCAAAACACCAAGACCATGATCTGAGCTGAAATCAAAGAATCGGACATCCAAAGGACTAAGCCACTCAGGTGCTCCTAAGAAACTGAAATTAATCTTAAGATTATAGGACACATACTTTCTCTTACATCTTACTGCCAAACCAAAAGATTTCCAATATAATAACCAGGGATTATAGCTGAAAGAGCTGTAAGACACAGACTTTCTTTGATGAAGAGCATATAGGGAAGCCCAAAGTCCAGGTGGCAGACAAAACAAGGCCACTAGAGGAATCTGAAGCCTCTGGTACTGAGAGCTGCAACAAACATTAAGTACAGTCCAACTCTTGCCTAGATTAACATAAAACTTATACTAAAAACCTATTTCAGTTCCTGTTAGTATATGATGCTCAGCTTCTAATAATTACAAGGCATGTTAACAAGAAAAAACATGCCTTACTGAATATCTGAAGGGATACTTAGGTTTTCAATTTCTTCTTCTTCTTCTTCTTCTTTTTTTAAAGATTTTATTTATTTGACACAGAGAGAGAGAGATCACAAGTAGGCAGAGAGAGAGTGGGAAGCAGGCTCCCTGCCGAGCAGAGAGCCCGATATAGGGCTCCATCCCAGGACTTTGAGATCATGACCTGAGCCGAAGGCAGAGGCTTAATTCACTGAGCCACCCAGGTGCCCCTTCAATTTCTTCTTGAGTTTTTTTTTTTTTTTAAGTGATATGTCCATTTCATCTAAGTTTTAAATTTATTGGCATTAAGTTGTTTATAATATTCCATTTTTATTTAGTAAATGTAGAATCTGTAATGCTAGTCATAATTTATGTGTTTTTCCCTTACCAATCTGGCCAGAGCTTTATCAATTTTATTAATTTACTCAAAGAACCAGATTTTTGTTTTATTGAAATTCTCCATTGTTCTTCTGCTTTTTGATTTTTGCTCTTCTCTTCGTTACTTCCTTTCTTTTACTTATTTTTAGCTTTAGTTTTTTTTTCTAGTTTCTTAATGAGAAAGCTTACGACATTGATTTTAAATATTTTGATGTATCTAATATAAACATTTAATGCTAAAAATTTCACTCTATTCCTTCTTCAGGTACTTTGCTTTGGCAACTATCCCCCCATCTCCTGCATCATCAATTTTTCCCTTTCCACTGAGTGATTGTCATCTTTATACAAACATGCTGTTATAATGATGTATTACTTGGGAGCTGGGGAGAAAAACACTTCTCTGTTTCCCCCTCATCCTCCTCAGGCTATCATCCCATTCCCCTACTCTATTTATAATGGTTCTCTGTACTTGATATGCTATGTCTATGTCCTTATAATCCACTCCATTTAGGTATTCACCCCTACACTGAAATTCTACCACTCCATATGTAATGATCAATTCTTACTCCTCATCATACTCATTATTCAACAGCATTTGACATCCTTTCCCCTCTCAGGTCACCACACTCTCCTGATATTCCTTCCTTCCTCAGTGGACAACTCCACTTCCTCATTCCAACCTCTCAATTGGAGAGCCCCAGTGTTCAGTCCTCAGTCTCACCTTTTCCTCTGGATCTACATTCATTACCCAGGGGCGTTTCATCTACTGCTAAAATTTCAAGTATCACACACTCCAGCTAGTCTATATTATTTCATAATTGGTAACATACTAGGTAATATTTATGTATTTTAATCCAGGCAGTCAGATTATATGTTCCCAGAGGATAAAGACCTCTACCATCTCATTCTTTTCCATCCTTTTAAAGTATCTAATGCAGTGGTCTGCATTAGATACTTTAACACTGATTAAACACTACAAACACTACAAACCCCATTTCTGATTTTGCTCAAGCACTGAAAAATGAATGGTTTCACCATCAGGTAGAGAAGGATTTATAGCGATTACACTTACACAACAAGTACCTCCTATTACTGAGTGTTAAAGCCAGGACCTGCTCAGGGCTCATCAACTACTATGGTCACCTTAGGAGGTGTCAAATCCTTAAAAATTCTTTTGCTGAGACTGAATCCATAAGCCAGTTGAGTGTTTGAGTGGTTCATCTATTCAGCATTTTCAATGAGGTGAGGAAAAAATACATACTTCTTTCCACTGGAGGTTTCTCATGTGTTGAGGCTGGACACGGAGGAAGTCCTTGCTTCAACTAAATACCAAACAAACAACAATTAAACTAGAGCCACAGTTTCAGTGGGGAAGAGCCAAAGAAGTTGTATACAAATCTGGCCTGTTACCTAAGAAATGCACACCTCTTCCACTGGCTTACAAGTGAGGACTAAAAAGCTCTTGGTCCCTGAGGATATTTCATCTAATAACACAGTCAAGATAAAACTAGAGCAGCCTCATTTCAAACCAGAGTGAACAGGCATCACATGGTTTGAGTTTCAGGCTATAATAATTTTCTATACAACTTGTCTGATGTTGAAAGACAAGCTCAAACCCTTCACTGCACTGTCTCCACACCAAGGGGAGAAAAAACAAAAGGATTCTATAGGTTGCTCAGGATCAGTGGGTAAAAACTAAACTCTACTCTCCTTGTCAACCAACTGCCATCTCTAGTGACTATTATATGATATTTTATAAATTCCCTGTTTTACAATTACTTAGAACAGATTTTTCAAGGTGAGTTTCCAGGATCTTTGAGAATAATCTTCCACTTGGTTTGAGCCTCAAAGAACTTCTCTGCACTGTTTCTGAACACACAGAAATGAAACAGGCCTTATGAATTTTCAGGTAACAAAGATTTCTCTTTAAAAAGTCTCAGGGCTGGGCGCCTGGGTGGCTCAGTGGGTTAAAGCCTCTGCCTTCGGCTCAGGTCATGATCCCAGGGTCCTGGGATCGAGTCCCGCATCGGGCTCTCTGCTCGGCAGGGAGCCTGCTTCTCCGTCTCTCTCTGCCTGCCTCTCTGCCTACTTGTGATCTCTGTCTGTCCAATAAATAAATAAAATCTTTAAAAAAAAAAAAAAGTCTCAGGGCTGACCAGGCATAAACAACAGAATATGCAGTCAAGTTTTGTAGGAGACAAAGAGTTTAACAACAGATACTGAAGAGTACATTGCTCCAAAGAAGAGGACACATGGGAGACGAGTAGTGCCAGACAACACTTTTATTGTTCACTGAAAAACACAGGTCTGAAAAGAGTCTATTGCATTGCGCACTGAATGCAAGGCCTGATATTACAAGTATATAGACACAACAGCATAACTTATATAAAATGATACATATTGTATACTTATATAAAATGATACATATATAGTCGCCATTTCTCTAAACACTAGAATTTAATAGAAGTAACGCCTTTTATTATAGAAGAACTGTAAACACTGCAATCTTAAACAAAATGCTCTAAGCAAAGCACTTTAAAATTGTTTTGTTGTGATATCTACTTTTTCCACCTGGAGTTAGGACCCTGTAGGACCCAAGAAAAAGTTAACTAATGAGAGTTAGCACTTACAAAGAGCTCTTCCCAGGTTGCTGGGGGCTGCTGCCTAAGACAGGCCGCCACCACCCGGGCCCCCCTGGAGCCCTCAGGCCCACAGTGACTGCTAACCCCTACCTCCAGGCTAGTCTGAGGTGATGCAAAGTGGGAGGAGTACACGTAGGAGGAAGCTCCTGTCACAACTACTTATCCTGCACCCAACTCTATGGACAAGAACACCTAATATTTTTTATGTGAATTTGCCAATCTCAGCAAACACTGAAATGTGCTTTAAGAAAAAAAAAATTTAACAACGAGAACAAAAGCCATTCTCTATGCAATCTGTGGTTACCATCATTTCTTCCTTTTGGCTACGTTTTCAATAGATGCTCTAAAACAGGCTGCTACTATTATATTATGAGACAGGCAGGCCAGGATTGAGGTAACTAAACTTCTCCAGTTACAACAACTAACTTAAATGATTAAAAAAATAAATACAAATTTATTAGAGAGCAACAAAATCAATCTCTATTAGTCACATGGCAAAATATTCAAGCACTGCAGCAACATTCACATTCCACGGTCAACTCTAACTTTACCCACATTTCCTTCCAAACTGAGAAAGCACTGTGTGGAGGAGAGCATAAACTATCAACACCGCCTGCTGTCCAAATACTATCAGGGCTCAGAAGGATCCTCATAGATAAAAAATGCAGAGGGGAAAAAAAAAGGCATCTCAGTTTATACACAGCAACAGAAGAAACCTATACTCTCCCTCTGGGCACCATTGGCATCAGGCAAAGCAGGGCTATTTGTAAAAATAGTGCCTAAACTGACTATGGCAATGCTCACATTTTAACAGAAATCCGCAGGACAAAGTTCCTTTATGTATAGGGAGTCAAAGATTATTAAATAATTTCCTCAGACAAGAGTCTCACCAAAAGAAAAATTTCCTCTTGCCTGATAAGTTTTTATAAATGAGATTTTACAGTATCCCAGCTTCTTTACTTAATATTAAGTACAGAGGACATCCTCAGATCGTAGTAATGAGTAATATTAATATTCTCATATTTTTTAGTACTTTACAGATCAAGTATTTTATCAGACTATCCATTTAAGAGATTTGTATGTCAACAGTGATAACCAACTATATATTTTTCTTGTTTTGTCCACCAAAGAACACCATGTTCCGACAGGAATACAGCCCAGTTCCACAGGTATCTCGTTCCCCTGCACAGTAAATTTCACTCGTCAGTCTCTCTGTCCTTGACTCTTTTTACGACTCTTCTAGTCTAAGGAAAATTTTGTATAATGGTAGAAAACCACAAACTCTGGTGGAAGCATTGGTATCAGTGTCGTGAAGTAAACTTTAGGAGAGTAACTGTAATTGCTAAGGACTATTTACAGCCTTGCTGGAAATCCTATTTCTCTTGAATCACGATTAAGCAATTCTAGTTATTTAACCATGGGAAGGGATTTCACAGATAAAGGTCTAGTTCACGTGAGAGGTTCTGGCCCCTGAAATGATGTGCACCTAGTCGAAAATACTGGCCACCTTTCCATTTTAAACATGTTCATTATTCCTCTCCACCACTGTAGTGTGAAGTTCTTCCATCTGTCATGGCACTGGTGAGCCCTCTCATTGCTGCTCCTATTTCTTCTGGATGTTCTACTGTACATGTGGGATCCACTGAGCTTATCACCTAAATGTGTAGGGAATTTTCATATCGCACCATCCGTTTTCTAAGAGCCATCAATGGGGAACAATTTCTAGTTAGTAAAGGCATAATTCATTGGCATTTCCTCTTTATAAAGGAAATCAAAAGGGTTGCCTAGAAGCTGAACAAACGCGTTGGGTATTCCTATAAAGGGAAGGTTATATCTGCTACTAAAACCCAGAGACATTTGCTAAATCTAAAGATTATATGGATTTTGTAAAAGCACGAATTTGGCAGTTTCAGACATTTCCAATTTTACACTATATCACTTGTTGGCGGGGGGTGGGGAGTGCTGGCTAGTATCACAAGAGCAAATTAAAAGTGTCAACATCACTCTACTGGCTTGTTTTCCTCATGCTTCTGATTCTTTCACCGCTCTAGTGAAGTCTGTTCCAGGGCACATCACTCAGCAATCGGCAGAACTGCTCAGAGATAGAACAGGCTTCACCTCAACCTGCCCTGCTATCCACACTCAGCTGGTGAACACTGTATTGGGACAGAGCTCGTGAAAAGCCTTAAACCCAGGAAAGACTTAGAGAAGTTGCACAAAAATTCCTGGTTTATAATACCTACCCAGGAATCAGAAAATAATTGGTTTTTGGTTAAACAAACTGAATCAATGCTCAAAAACAATGTAATGTCTCAAAAAGCAAAATCCAGAGTAAAAACTACAGAAAAAATGCAGCTTGTTAATCAATAGCTTACTCTAACTAAATCATCATAGAAAGTCAGTGCGATTTACTATTGCATGTAGAAGCACAACCTGCCATGTTCTCATAAAATTGGGTGCTAGTAAAGAACACGAAAACAGTTAATAGGGATGAAAGCCCTTTAGCTTTTGTGACTTCATGACTTAAAAAGACAAACACCAAGCAGGATTTGACATTCAAAGATTTACCTGCTCAGCACAAGCTGAGTTGAGAGACAGCTGAACACCTGACTTTTATTCATTTACGGTGTTCTCAGGAAGTTCCTATTTGGACACCGATGGTTCTTAAATTGGCTGCATTTCAGAGTCATCTAGGAAGCTTTTAAAAATTACCAAATGCCCAGAGGCACCTGGGTGGCTCAGTCAGTTTGGCGTCGGACTTTTAGTTTCAGCTCAGGTCAGGATCTCAGGGTCCTGAGACTGAGCCCCACATAGGCTCCACGCTCAGCGCAGAGTCTGCCTGTCCCTCTCCCTCTGCTCCTCCGTCTCCTCAAATAAATAAAATCTTAAAAATTACCGAATGCCCAGACCAATTAAATGTGGAAGGTGGAGCCCAGGTACCAGTATTCGTTGCCTCCCCAGGTGACAGTCTAATGTGTGGCCGGAACATGCACACTCACTAATGTATCCCTTTCAGAGAGCTGTGGCATGAACGTCATATTTTATCTAGATGGTTTTGTTTTTTCTAAATACCACCAGGAAAAGGAATTTTTAGAAAAAGGCACAGTTGTGCTTCCTCTAAAGATGCAGCTTACTGTTTGACACGTGCTGGTTCTCAGAGGTTATCTGGAGCGCTGGTTGAAAAGGAGGAAGTCCTTGTCTTGGCAGAGTAGGCAGAGCTTCAGGCTTCGGCAGCTGCCTCCAGCAACAAAGAATGCCCAGATGCCCATGAGTACCATGATTAAATATGTGGATACCAGATTTATTCCATAATGAGGACTTATGAAGGTCTGCAAAAAAAAAAAAAAAAAAAACAGCTTATATAATAACAGTAAGTTCATTAAACATGTAGAGTAACTAAAGAGTAAGGAAAATATAGGATACTTTCAATAGCTGGGCTGTGTTTCACCAAACATATGATGTATGTGACACACTGAGTACCACAAAGACACACAGAACTTACCTTGTCAACAGACACTAGCCCATAGATGTGTGCTTCACTATATTCAAATGTCAAGGCTAGAGGGTAACTAGAAGTCAGAATCAAATGGAAGACCCAATAGAAGATATATGTTATACAACCTGGGCCCAGTTCATAACAATTTCTGTGTTAACCAGCTCTTAATTTTCAAGAAAGTAAGACAAGTCCAAGTTACTTCAGGATGAATCCTTAGTATTCAAGGGAACAGCATCTCTTTTTCACCTGCACAGCTGAAGAGGGTTCCAAAAGTTCACTTTAAAAACTCTGAAGGAGTGCCAAGAGGTATTATGCTATGTAACACTGAAGACCAGAGTATCTATCCTAATGGAGCTTATATGCTAGTAAAAGAAACAAGTAAGGAATGCAGCAGCAAATAAATGAATCAAATAATTACACATTATGATGAATGCTAGACAGAATAATTATAATCATGATGGTGCTAGATAAGTAAGAACAAGGTGGTCTACTCAGGTTGCTCAGGGGTAGTCCTGAGTAAGTGGCATTTAAACTGACATATAGTTGGAGAAAGCCAGCCTTGTGTAGAGTGAAGGTGGGAACCTCAGGAGGGCAAAGAGCTTGGTGCAGCTGAGAACCTAGAAAGAGTGATATTAGTCATGTGTAGAGATGGAGGGGCAGCACATGAGATGAGGTCAAGAGAGGAAGGCAGGAACCAGTTATGCAGCATGTTGGTAAGGGGTGTGGACTTCATCCCCAGTGCAATGGGTGGGGGTGTCACAGAAGGGGTCAAGGTAGGGGAGCTGAGTGACTTGATTTAGATGTTTAAAACTGTACAAAATGGATTAAAGGAGTTAACTGGGAAAGCAGGGAGACTCATTAAGAAGGCTGTGCACTGACAACCATAAGAGACTCTTAATCTCAGGAAACTGAGGGCTGATGGAGTGGAAGGCGGTCCGAGGGATAGAGCGGCTGGGTGATGGACAGTGGGGAGGGTATGTGTTGTGGTGAGAGCTGGGTATTATGTAAGACTGATGAATCACAGACCTATACCCCTGAAACAAATAATACATTATATATTAATAATAATAAAAAAGAAGAAGAAGGTTTTACACTGGTTGAGGAGAGTATAGGATGGTGACTTAGATCAGGGTGGTGGTAGTAGAGATGGAGAGAGTGGGTGATGTGAACAGACAGGACTTGCTGATGGAAGGAATGTGAGGGAAAGAGAGAGGCCAAAGTGGCTTCCATGTTTGTGGCTTTTGGTAAACGGTAGTGCTACTTAATGGGATGACAAAGACTTGGGCAAAGACGACACTCAGAGTGATGGGTGAGAATCAAGTCCAATGAGGATAAGCTAAGAGTAACATGCCTATGAGATTTCAAAGGACAGACATCAGGAAAGCATTAGGCATACGAATACGGGGCTGCGAGGAGAGACTTGTGCTGGGAAAGAAAGAGACTCGTGCTAGAAGCACAGACCATAGACAGTATGTAAAGCCATGACTCTGAATGCAGTTACCCAGGGAGCTATTACAGAGAGACGGGAAAGGAGAAGTCAAGACAAAGCCATGAGAACATTTATAAATTTTTTGTACTGTTCAGTATCGCAGAAGCAAATTAAAAGTATAGACAACATTCTATTCTCTTGACTCTTAACTGAAAAAGAGTCAGCAAAGGGGTCTGAGAAGAGCAAACAGTGAGGAAAGAGGAAAAGCAGGACATGTGTTACAGAAGTCAAAAGAGGAACATGTTTCACAGAGAGAGTGGTCAACTCTTTTAAAGGCTGCTGAGATGAGAACAAAAACCCCAATGTGTTTTCGAGAAATGGAGATTTCCTTTGATCTTGACAAGTGCAATTTTAGAAGGGTGGTTGAGCAGAACCAAGACTGGACTAGAAGTATGAGAGGTGAAGAAGCGGAGACAAAATTAGTGGAGGTAACTCTGAGAAATTTTGCTGTGATGGGGAACAGAAAAAAAGGGAATGATGGCTAGATGGAGGAAAGGCAATAGTGGAGAGTTTTAAAATACATCTATGTGCTAATGACGAGAAGGAAAACTGGTGATGTAGGATCAAGGACACAATCAGAGTGAGGTCATTGTGGGAAAGAACTGGAAGTAGAGCCCAGGTAGAGGGACTGGCCTTAGAGAGAAGGAGAAATACTTCCTTTCCTGGGCCAGAGTAAGGTGGGGAGATGGGTTCCCAACTAGCCCAGAACTTACACTTAACAAAGGAGAGGAACTAACTGGGTCAATGTCACCATAGACCTCTGCCTATAAAAGCCTTCAAGGGGAGTGCTTCCATGGCTCATCACTGTTCTTACCCTCACCCTACCTGCACATGCTCCTGGTTAAGATACCGACCCTGCCTATCAGCTCTGACTAGGAAAATGGGCTGATTTTGCAGAGATGGCACCTTATGCAGAAAAAGTGCTTTTCTCAAGAGGCATCTCTGGACATTGAGCACATTGAGGCAGGCATTGAGCACTTTCTGGATTCTTTGGAAATCCACTGAATTTTAACTTACTTTATAGGGTGCTAAGTTCTTTTGTATTTCTCTTTAGTTTCTTTAAAATTTTTCTTCTTTAAACAATTACCGAAGCAATATGTGACTGTTGTAGAAAATTAAAATACACAAATGAGTAAAATAAATTTTAAAATTGAAATTCAGATAGGTTAATATTCATTGAACAGAAAACAAAAACTATAAATGATAAAGCAAAATTGATTAAACTACATCAAAATAAAGAATTTTTGCTCATAAAAAAGACAACATAAAGAGGATGTAAAGTTAAACCACACAACAGGAGAAGCTATTTACAATAGGTACATCTGACAAAGACCTTTTTTAGAGAATACAGAAAGAACTCCTAGAAATAAAAAAGACAATCCAATAGGATTATAGGCAAAAGATTTGAACAGGCACTTCACAAAAGAATTATCCAAATGGCCAATAAATATATGAAGACATGGATAATCTCAATAATCATTAGGGAAATGCAAAGTAAAACGACAATGTGCAGGCGCGTGGGTGGCTCAGTTGGTTAAGGGACTGCCTTTGGCTCAGGTCATGATCCCGGAGATGGGGAATCGAGTCAGACACTGGGCTCCCCGCTCAGCAGGGAGTCTGCTTCTCCCTCTGCCCTTGCTCATCCAACATGTGTGCTCTCTCTGTCTCAAATAAATAAAATCTTTAAAAAAATAAAAAATAAAATAAAACCACAATGTGATACTACGATACACCCAGCAGGATGTGTAACAATAGATAGATTGACATACTAACTGTTGGTGATGAGGGTGAGGAACTGCCACTCACAAATTAATGGTGTGGATGTAATTGATATAATTACTCTGAAAAACTGGGTGGTATGAACAGTTGACATATATACACCGCATGACCAGCAATTCCACTCCTAGGCATATATCACATATATCCAAAAGAAATGTGTACATACATTCAAAAGAGACATATAGTACAATGCTCAAAGCATTACTATTCACAATAGTTAGAACCTGGAGACACCATTTCTGCTGTAGAATGGATAAAGCAAGGTACAGTTACTAAGTAGAATACTATACTGCAAAAAATGAACAATTAATAGCTAGCTATACATACAGATGAATCTCACAAACACGATGTTGATGAAAGGAGTCAGACACAAGAGCAAAGACTAAATGGTTCTGTTTATATAAAATACCAAAAACAAGACAAGCTGCACGTTAGAAGTCAGGACTGTGGTGGGAGGTTCGTGAGAGCTGATAATGTTTTTGTTTTCATTTGAGTTCAAGTTACATGGGTTACATTCATCAAGATGGATGCTTCTGATCTATATACTTTTCTGTAGGTGTATTTAAATAAAACAATTACTTAAACATTCTCTGAAACCTGCTATTCAGAGATAACCACTGTTAACATTTTGGTATATCATCTTTCAAATTTCCTAGGTTCTTCTTATTTTAGCTTATTTTCCTGGGTTCTTTTAATCATTAGAGAGAGTATCAACTATTCAACATTCAACATTTATTGGATTGAAGAAACAAAGATTGATAAGATAAGGTCCCATCCTTGATGATCGAACTCTAGTTGGAGAGATATAAGAACTATATTAAAGATAACAACACTCTCTGAGGATGTATTATAACACGGCTATGTATTAAGGTCTAGTGACTGTGCTGAGTCTGGAACATGCACCTTTGCCAGGGAGGCTTCACACTGAACTAGCACTTTTCCAAACTGACTTGGGTTAAGGGGAGATAAGTCACTGCAGATAAAACAGCATGCACAAGGCATGCTGTTGGGTAGCCACAACAGATCAGTTTCAATGGAGTACATGATGTGAACTGTGGGGAGCAGCAACAGGTAAGTTTTGCACCAGTATGGATGAAAAGAGGCTTGGGTCAAACAAAGAAGTCTGGGTTTTATTCCACAGGCATGTGCTATAGCTGATCATTTTTACCTCAATACATCTGGCTCCCAGGACACCTGGCTCCTGGTTTTCCTCCAGCCTCACTAGTGGCTCCTTCTCACTTTCCTTTGCTGGCTGCTCTTTCCCCAGCACTCCCCAGGTGGGAGTGTCCCAGGGCTCAGTCCTTGGGCCTCTTTTCTTGTCTGCTTGAACCTACTCCTTTTAATCACTTTTTCTGCCCTGGGTTGTCCTCCCAAACTCCAGACATTTTCATCCAACTACCTAACAAACATTTCCATTTGGATGTCCAATAGGCATCTCTATTACATTTATAATGTGCCCAAATAAACTCCTGAGCTCCCCTCACAAGCTTCCTCATCCCAACTGATGGTAACTCCATCCTTCTTAGGGTCCAGGCCAAAACCCTGGAGGCACCCTTGGCTCGCTCCTCTGCTTTCTCTCCTGTGCCTTATCCAGTCTGTCAGGAAATACTGTTGGCTCTACTTTCAAGTATATGTCCTCAATCTGATCATTTCTCATTATATACATTGCTATTTCACCCAAATTATCACCATCCTCCTCTTGATGACTGTAATCTTTTCCCCTGCTACAGTTTACTCTTAACACAGCAAAGTGATCCTTTTAAAATCACATCCCTCTCCTTAAACACCCTACGCTGACTTCCATTTCACTGAGAGTAAATGTCAAAGTCCTACATTACCTAGATGTGGTTCTCACTTCCAACCTCTACTTCTCTCCCACCTTCAACTCTGTGACAGTATCTCCTACTAACTTTCCCCTGGCTCACTCTGCTCTGGCCACCCTCACTTCCAAAAAATATGTCAAGCAAGTTCTTTGATCTTAGGACTTTGCTACTGGCTGTGCAGTCCAAGATGTTCTTTCTCCAGAGAGCTACATGACCATCTTCTTCCCTTCTTTCTTAAATGTCACCTTCACAATGAAGCCTACTCTGACCATCTAATTCAAAAATTTGACATCTCCTGCCTCCCTACACGCTGGATTCCTTTTGGCCTGTGCTACTGGCCACAGCACCTATCACTATAAAATTTATTATGCCTACTGCTTAAAGCCTCTCTCTCCCCACTAAACTGTAAAAACAGATCTTTGCTTTGTTCACTAAACTGCTTTGTTTACCTTGACCAGTGCCTGGAACACAGAAGGCACTCAGTAAATATTTGTTAAATGAATCAATAGCCAATTGGATCTATAAAAAGGACATCTGCTTTTTCATGTAATTTCCTTTCTGATTATAAAAGTATACATCATAGAAAATTTGGAACATGCCAAAAACAAGAAAAAAAGAATCCACTCAGGGAGGAACACTATTAATATTTTAATGCAGTCTCTTTCTAGTCTTTTTTCCAATGAAGTCTTGGCTTCACATAGTTGCCATCATATCAAAGGTAACTTTAACATCCTGTACCACTGAAAAGTTTTAGGTAGGGGAAGCAGTGAGACTGCATTTCTTCCTTCCTTTCTTTCTTTCTATCTATTTATCTATCTAATCTTTTAAGTAATCTCTGTGCCCAGCGTGAGACTCCAACTCATGATCCTGAGATCAAGAGTCACATGCTCTGCTGACTGAGCCAGCCAGGCACCCCTGTAAGATGGCACTTTAGATGGATCATAGGTCAAGGAGCCCAGCATGAGAAAACCTGATATAAATTCTAAATGGATGGAGAAGAGAGAAACATGAGGCAGGACACCACCAGAAAGAACCTTTTCAATACTTTGAAGTGAGAAATCATAAGGGTCTGGACAAGGCATTGGTGGGGATAATTCTGATATAAATATATGACAAATTACAATAAAAGTCAGACCCAAAGCATTAAATAGTTCTTAAAAAGCATATCTAGTCAAGCTTTCTTTTTAAATTTAACTTAGAAAACTGGCATAATTTCACTGTGGAGGGAGTAACTGGGCACTCCTGTTACTGATCATAATGAGCAAAAATGGTACAACCTTTGTGGAGAGTATTTTAGCAATGGACATCAAGGACTTCAAAAATACTCATACCATTTAATATTTTCATTCCTTGGAAGCTAAATATAATCTTGAAAAACTTCCATGTACAAAGATGTTCAAGATAGCATTATAAGAAGCAAAAGTAGAAAAATATATGATCAGTTAAGCAAACTGTAATATAATTTTTATATAATAATATAAGGCTATTAAAATGTACATATTAAAAGGGTTTATAATATCATGGAAATTGTTTAAGATGTGTTACCTAACATAAGCATAATACAAGACTACTTCAGGTTTGACTATACCCATAAAAGAAAGATACAAAGAAAGAAATTTTAATGAAATCAACCAACAAATTAATAGTTGTTTCTTTCTGTAGGAAGACAGATGATTTATTTATCTACCTTTCACTCATTCACTCAAGTCACCAACTTTTTGAAATTTCTTCATTTGACATTGAGTTTGTATTTCATTTAGTGTAGAACCTATCATTTTAGATATGGGGACGTGAGTTCCAAAAAACAATGTGAGGACAGTGGCAATACTCACCAGGGCAGACACCAGCAGATGTGTCAGCAGAACTACAAGAAGGGCAGACCACTTTTTCTTCTCACAGCCATCAAAAAATATGATACCCCAGAATACGTGCAGCAATATGATAACCAGCGTCATGAAAGCTGAAAGATAGTCAACCATTAATGTCCAGTCATACAGACAACAGATACCAAAGCCCACTGACCACCTGCTCATGATACACAAGCTCTTGGGGTACACCACACCACTGTGAGAGTCCAAACACCACCTGCCAGAACCAGGACACTGACACACATTTGCTCAAATAGTAACTTGGAAAGCAACACTTCTGAACACAGGGTCAGCTCTGCAGCAGCTCGTCATCTAAAATGTGAACCTGTTAAACCAAAGGCAGCTTGGACTGACTTCCAAGAAGTTTCGCTGAGGAAGAGAATAAAACTAGCATAGTATCTAGTCAAATCTTTCCAAATTAGCCTTCTGCACTTTCCTGAATTAAATGGATTATCTTCAATTTAAACAAATCTTCTCACCAAATTGAAATTTCTCCTGTGTTCTTTCCTTTAAAAAAAAAAAATGCCAATGGAAGTATAAAAATATTTAAAAATTACAGTAATTATCTTAGATCCTTCTTAGGCAACCCAAACTGAATCTGATCAGCACAACCAGGTTTTTCTGTGGAATAGAGTGTGTGTGTGTGTGTGTGTGTGTGTGTGTGCGCGCACACGCGCACAGGCACGCGCACACGCGTATGTCTCTTCTACCCTGGAAACATTTAAAATGGACAAGTTCCGCATATTCTGAAAGCTTTAATATGAAAAAAAGGGCATATCAATTTTCCTTTTCAGTCACATATTAAGATACAATTAACACCCACCAATCTGGCAAAAATTCAAGTCTGACAATTCTCTTTCACACTGCAGATAGGAAAACAATCTAGCATTACCCAGTAAAGTTGAGAATATGTATTCTCTATTTCATTCCAGCAATTCCACAGCTAGATCTATACTCCGAAGAAATTGGTTCTTAGATCAAAAGATCACTAGTACCTGAGAACTTGTTAGGAATGCAAATTCTTGGGACCCACCCCAGACCTCCTGAATCAAACAATGAACTTAACAACTAGTGTTTAAACAGCCCTGCGAGTGATTCCAAAGTAGTCAAATTTGAGAACTACTGCTCTGAAAAAACTAGCATATTTGCACAATTAGATATATACAAGAATATTTATATCAGCATTGTTTGTAATAACAAAAAATTTTCATCATTACCAAGAATGGATGACTTGTGGTGTATTCACACAATGGTATACTATATGATCTATAATACAAATGATCTCAAGAATATAATGCTGAGGGGGGAAAAAACCATATTGTGGGAAGATGCCCATTATTTATACAAAGTCAAAAACATCCAAAAACAATATTAAAAGGACATAACTACTCTGATTGGAGGAAAGCAAGCTGTTCTATCTAGTAACAGAGTGCCATCATTTCAGTCAGTGGTGGTAAATACTTCAAGTAGAGGGGGGATTTTAAAATATATAACTTTGGGATGAGGGTAGACTAAAATTCAAATGACCTAAGGCACCTTCCTGCTAAAAAACATTTTGGATGACTTGATACTGTATCCAAAGTAAAGTCCAAATGTCTCAGATTACCATCCAAGGCCCTCTATAACCTAGAACCAAATTATTATTCTTAACTAATCTTCAAATACAGCCTACATGGCAGAAAGCCAGAAATCTTACACTCTATGTCTCTGTGCTTTTCCTTATTTTTTTTTAACTGACTGTCCTTTTGCCTGAATACTCATCATCCCCCTGCCACCTCACGACATCCAAATCTTACTTTAAGATCTAGCTTAATGCCATCTCCTTCCATCTCCTTAGTGAGTTCTTTCTGACACCCACTCTTCACTTTTTTAAGAACCCTCAGCACACATTTGCTGAGCACCTGGATAGTCTGGCCTGAAGATTTTGTACTAGGGCTCGGGAGTTACACAATCTCGAGATGGAATGCAGGCTCCACAGTGTGGCTTTGGGCAAACTATGTAACCTCCTTCATCTTCTGTTTCCTTTATTTCTAAAACAGGGACAATAATACCTCAAAGGGCGGTTGCAGGGAAGAACAGTGTTTTGTAAACCTCAGCTTTTCAATAAATACTATTACTATGTGCCACAGTCTCTGGATTCAAAGATGAGTATGGCAGGGCCTTTAGTGAGCTGTACCGTCAGGTGGGAAAATGAGGCAGAGCAGCAGTAGTAGTGTGGGTAGTGTGCATTGTTTGAAAATGCACTCTTCTTCACTCTTACAGATTATTTCTTTCTCCGACCTTGTGTTACTTTTATATTTATTTTCTTCCTCCTCTCTTTCCTTATTGCATACAACAAGTACTTATTCGGTGTCCACTATGATAGACACTCTTTGGGGTACTGGGGCTATCACCGTGCACAAAACACAATCTCATGGAACTCTGCCTCATCCTTTCAGTTTACTGTTTTATTAACACAGTATCCAAAGGGGATCTCCCAGACATTTGTTGAAACACTGTAAGTTCTTACATGACTGATTATTTATTCTGCTGGCATTAATTTCTGGCTGGCTGCCATATTGTCATAAGACTTTACTACTACAACATGCCATTTAGAATATTAGGATTCATTCTTTATTCCCTCTGCAACTGGTCAGAGGTCCAACAGAAACAGAGACCTGAAGATCTATTCTGCCACATACAGGAGCTAGAGGTACATATAATTTTGTTACTTTTCTCTAGTAAATGGAATTAATTCCAATTAGAAATGAAGATTTGCTAATAGTATCTCTAGGAAACTATCTTTTAATTACTAAAACTTTCTCATTTCATGCTCCTAAGTATAAAATTCTAAAAGTCCTTCAGTAAATCTAACTCTATAAAATTTGCTTTGTTCTAATATTTGTAAAAGTAGAAAAAACCCTCTCCAAATTAATTATAAAAAATCACAATTCATTTATAATCCAGATTAATAAAAGGAGCTTCCCTAATTTCTAGTGTTTTGGAACATTAACCAGAAATCTGAACAAATCTGGGTTGCCTAGGTGGCTCAGTCAGTTAAACATTTGACTTGATTTCAGCTCAGGTCATGATCTCAGGGTTGTGGGATTGAGCTCTGTGACAGGCTCTGTGCATGTGGGGCCTGCTTAAGATTCTCTCTCCCTGGGGCGCCTGGGTGGCTCAGTGGGTTAAGCCGCTGTCTTCAGCTCAGGTCATGATCTCAGGGTCCTGGGATCGAGTCCCACATCAGGCTCTCAGCTCAGCAGGGAGCCTGCTTCCCTCTCCCTCTCTCTCTGCCTGCCTCTCTGCCTGCTTGTGATCTCTGCCAAATAAATAAATTAAAAAAAAAAAAACTTAAAAAAAAAAAAAGATTCTCTCTCCTTCACCCCATGTGCTCTCTCTAAAAGAGAAGAAAGAATGAAAGAGAGAAAGGGAGAAAGAAAGACAAGAAAGAAAGGAGGGGAGGGAGGGAAGGAGGAAGGGAAGGGAGAGAATGAGGGAGGAAGGAAGGGAAGAGAAGGAAGGAGGGCGGAAGGGAGTTAAGAAAGAAATCTGAACAGAAAAAAGAAAAGAAATAAATCTGAACGATTCTAACAAGTATTGTACATCTGTTTGTGAAATTGTAGCTGCCAGTTTGATAATGAACTTCTAACAATCTTTTAAGTCAAATCCTCTTGGTAAAGAATGTTTTATTTTAATCTATTTCTAAGCAAAATGTTTCAGAGTTATCTTTAAGAAGCTATAGTTAGGAGCGCCTGTGTGGCTCAGTCAGTTGAGTATCTGACTCTTGATTTTGAATTCAGATTCCTGGAATCAGAGTCCTGGGACACAGCCCCATATTGGCCTCTGCACTCAGCAGGGAGTCTGCAGTTAGGATTCAATCTCCCTCCCCTTCTGCCCCTCTCACTCCTGCTTTCTCTCTCTCAAATCTCAAATAAATAAGCCTTTTAAAAAAAAAAAAAAGAGCCTACATTTATGATTTGGTTCTTTTCCCCTTGAATATACTCCAAATGCTTTAACACACAGACCGACAAACATTGTCATTTTCATGCTTGTCCCTCTCTCCCTTATTCCTAATATTTACTTTTCTGTCCTTGCAAAATAACGGCCTAAGACAGCTACTGATTCTAACACCGGATCCTACCAGTACAGAAACTATCACCTGGCTTCCTTTGACAATTTCATAGAATCTAACTATGCCAGAGAGAGTCAAGGGTGGCTGCCAGGTGGTAGTTGCAACAGGCAGAGGAAGACTTTGCAAAGCCAACGGTTAGCCTCAACCGCCTAGAGACAGGATATGAGTACTAATGAGCTTCTGGCTTCTTTTTCTGAGAAGAGTCTGGGGTATCAAGGCAGTGAAGGACTCTCCTCCATACCTCTTGGTTATAGAAACTCTGGATTTTTAAGGGATCTCCAATGACCTAGCTCAAGCAGAAGCCAAACCACAGAACTAAATATTTGTTGACAATGCCTTTCCCATAACAGGGATTTAACTTAAAAATTTTGCTTTAAAAAGCATGACAATTTTGTGACTTTGTTATTATAATATAGAAGTATATATATTACTAGTCAAATAACATTCTCCAAGATTTAAAAAAGACATCTTGAAAACCATCTCATACTACATAGCAATAAGAAAGGTGTAATACTGTCTTCTAATACCAGTCAGATCATAAAGAAGGTGTTCTGAAAGCAATTTGAATAATTACTGGTGTGTAAATAGCATTTATCATCTCATATTTATGAAACTGCTTCTAAAGTATGTTCATGAGCTGAACATGAATGTGCCAAAAATGTGATTTTGTTTAAAGTCTCCCCAGCATATGTTAAGGAATGATGAAATTCTCTCTTCAGATTAGTTCATCAGTGTGGAGAGTCAGCACTGGGAGGCCTATTAGATGGTTTCTGATCTAATCCCTATGCAATGAAAAAGTAAATCCCACAGCATCCACTTCAAATCCAGTTTAGAAGTTTACTTGATTACAACAGTCACTGTGGGAAAGTTCCTTCTCAAAATGAACCCAAATCTGCCTTCTAACTCAATGGTTCATAAGTGAGGCAATTTTGCCCAGAGAGCATTTGTCAATATCTGTAGACATTTCTGGTTGCCACA